TGGAAAAAAAGTGGTTTCAAATTTCCCAAATAAATAAGGAAAATAACTAACTCACAGTTGTATCCATGCCATCCACGACTTCTGAGGTTTACACTTTCACAGAATCTAATAAAAGGCCGCCCGGTTATGCTGCAAATTAAGTCAACCGCAAAAAAGGAGCCCAAGCAAGATCGGTCAGCACTGTCAGATGTTGATCTTCAAATTCTCAATAGAGAAGCACAAGATTATTTTGCCGTCAGAAATAATCCGAAGAAAAAAGGAAAATGCAACACCTTTGCAAGACATGGGGCAATTTTACTTTTATTCTTTCAGGAAAATTCCTCCAACCATTAAAAAAAAGAAACTGTGCAGTTAATATCATAAAAAGCTAATTTACATTCACCCTTGTTCACAGTCAAATGTCACCCACACACTCACCGCATTCTGAGTGCTTTGAGCGCACAATCACACACGCGTGCACAAATGCAGGCACATAACCAGTTATGTTGACGAAATTAGGGTAAACGAATTTCTATTTAAAACGTGGAACTTTTTTTTTCCCCAAGGGTTATATCAAATGTAAACCGTAAAGGGGACTGCTATTTGAGAAAAAGGAAATGAACTATCGGGGACATCAATGATTGATGTTCTAAAACAGCTGCAGACACTTTGTACCTGAGAGAAAGCAGACTGGCGTCATTCTCTCTTCAGGTCAGGCAGCGGGGCCATGGAATGAGGTCATGGCAGCTCTGTAGGGCTTGTTGGATGCCCCATCGACTGCTTGTCACTACACTCGAAGTTCTCCTACAAATGAAACCCGTCCCGAGTGAATTCTACTGTGCACAGTATAAAGTGGCATGTGAGGAACTGGCACAAAAAGTGAAGCTCAAGCATTGAGCTTCATTGTAATCCTTCCTCACCCTTGCCTCACACGTTACGAGACTCAAATCGATTATGCAGGCCGTACCGACGGTATGTAGGCCTCGTGAATTAATTATGAGGCGTGACAGCGGAAGAGGGGGTTAAAAAAAAAAGAAAGAATGAAAATGCTTACACATTTCAGCTGTGAGATGGCCTAAAAAAGGTCAAATCGCAATGTGAATTTCATCCCTCTAAGGACTCAAACATACTCAAATATCAATGCGTTAAGTTACGTAAAATTTGAGCAAAATGCCCCATAAAAAATGCCCAATGCGAACGTTATCTTACCATGTTGATGTCCCCCAGTCTCCACTTTGCCCTAAAGTCTCTACTTGGATAACATTTGTCTTTGCTCCAAAAAGAATCAATAGAGGAAACCTTTGTTCTTTTGCCATTTTTTTCATTTGTTGGCGCATCTCGTTCCGACTGGAGTGCTGCGTCATTTTTCCCTTCAGTCAGCGCAGTGGAAAAGTGTCATACGTGTACTACGCACGTTTTCTTCGTTATCCTGCAGAAATCGGGTAGTAGCCTGGTAACTCCAATTCATTTCCAATACACAAATGCAAATAATGTGACCCCCAAAAAGTGTTTGATAACAATTGGGCACCCCTTATCATTATGGCATTGATATAAACAAATCTAATATTGACTTTCTGATTTACCCTACTGTAAATCCTCTCTCTCGCTCTTTTTTTTTTAATGACTTTATAGGCCTTAAATGAACTCACATGCCATTCAAACTCTGTACTCCTCATCTCGGCCACATGCAATTTCTTCTGTGCCTGACGGATACATCCATGCTCATAAGGCCACTGTGTTTGTGCTTTGCCACCATTTTGACCCTCCCTTCCCCATCCAAAGCCTGCCAGGCCTATCGACCCCCTTTTACAGCAGAAACCGTGCCCCGCATGCCCAGGGGGCTCTGCAGCCAACTGGAGCTCCCTGTTGTATTGTAAGTTACATCACCGGGTCGGGAAAATATGATTTAGACATCTTTAGCGAAGCTAATGTTGATGCCGCCATTTTCTAATTCGAAAAGACCTCCTTAATTCACCTCAAAGGCTTGAGATTAAACTTCAAATTCCACACATTAACGATTCAACAGTGTGCGATGATAGCAAACGGATCGATAAGTCTGTAAACGTGTATTAAAAAAGGGGATGATTCAAGCCACATACTGTGAAACATTAAAACACGAATAAAGTCGACCAATTCATTTACCTTGCCTTCGCCAGTCATAATCACACGTGCCTCGCAGGAGTGAACAGCAGCGAAACTTCCGCTTTTGACTGTGTCTCTTCAAAATAAAACCGGATGTACACACTGTACATCAATAACGTCTTTGTCATTAACTTGACAAAGTTAATGACATTTGGTCCATGATGATGCGTGACTGCTTTTTTGTACACGGGTACACTGATTTTCCCAGGCAAGAATGACTACGAAATGGTCATTATCATTATTGATCTGGGCTCAAACGTTGATCACTGCTGCCTGCTTCAAACAAAGTTTGAAGTACTTTGGATGGGGGCAGTGTAAATTGTCAGAGTTATGGTATAGTTCCATTCTGAGGGCAACTACGCACTGGATTCGCTGTCGTTATCAAGTAACCCCACGTTTGCCTTTAAGGTCAGCGGTTTCTATGGCGACTGTGATGTGTTGTATGCTCAGATAACGTACATCACAGGGACTCAAGGAGCCTTTCCAGACAGCCTTCTGGTCTCTGGAAAAAAGACTGAACACTTTTTCCGCCAGGAAACTGAAACCAGTCTGTGGAGCCTGAAGGTACACTCCCTCCCATGTGCTAATAATGGTGGGTGGGACGAAATTGACCTTGAGTTAGGTTCAGGGGTGCTGCTTTCTTACAACTCCTGAGTGATAACCACTCCATCCTTATCCCTCTCGTTCTCCCCAAAGTCGGAAGTACGGTCAAGTCGAGTATCTCTCCTGTTTGACTTGCCAACGTGCAGATTTTCCAATGTAAACAAATGTAAACCGTGAAGTCATGTATTTCAGGTCGAAGACCAGCCGAGTCTCATGAATACCAAGTCAAAGTCAGGTCTAACCTCAAAGGTCTAACCTCGATGTCGCCTCTCGTCAGACGTCGGAAACGTACCAGCAAGAGACCGGAATAGCAGTCAGGATGGCCATGAAGCTCCAGTTGAGCTCTCTTGACCACCTCCTCCAAGTAGGATCGAAAGATGTCTCGAGAGAATCTTCACGAGGTTCTCATGAGTTCTGTTCTCCAGCTCCAGCAGTTCCAGTGGTGTTACACCAGACACCCCTCGGACCAGGTTGTGTACTCGGCCGATAAGCTGATGTTTGTGGACATGTTGAAGGGGATGTTCTGTCTGGACGCGTCTCTTCGGATGATGCCCCGCCAGGTTTCAGATAAGCAGTTTATCAGCATGAGCCACCTGTGGCCTCACTTTGCCATCAGCCCCCAGTAAGTCCCCCCAGCCACTCCCCGAAAAAAAAAAAATCACCTTATTGGATTCCTGGCTAATTGCAGGTTTCTTTGTCGCACAGTGTTCGGTTTTGCTGCGGAATAATGGCTGCCTGTGACTCTAAGGAGCCTCATGGTAAAAAGAAGGAAGTGTTTCCGCAGAATCTGGGCAACCGTGTCTGCAACAAGAAGCAGTCGGGACAGAAGGAGAAAACCAAGGATGGTGGTGAGGCGGGACAAGAAATTACCCATCCCAAAAAGCGAAAGAATGACGCCGGCTGTCAGCCCAGGTAGGCTCAACGGCAAAGGTCATCATCATTATCAACATGGAACCCTTGGCCCTTACTTTTAGAATAATCGTTTTCCAGAAAAAACAGTTGCATGGCTGACCACCTCTACGTGAGACGTCTGGCGGACTCGGTGCAACCAATCCAAACTCGGTCCAAGGTCTCCAAGAATGCAAGGCAGCATCTTGACATTCACAGCGGCATCTGAAACAAAATCAAGGGTGTGGCTGAGAAAGGACGCCAGGAGGGTTCAAGCCCTGGAAAAGGAACGGAAGGCTATTGCAACCACGTCCGACTTCCCCAGCCCTCAACTCCAACCTCCTCGCTAGCATACCCCAATATCGAGCCCTGACCCCTTCGCCTCTGAAATGGAATCAAATGTATGGTCCGATGGACGTGAGGATGGTTCGGCAACTGGAAGGGAACAGCATCTCAACCACGCCTTTCCCTAACTCTGACCCTGACCTCCCTGAAAGCTAATCCGAGATGAAATCCAGAGTGTGGCTCAGGAAGGACACCTGGAGGATTCAGGCACAGGATCAAGAACATTCCAACCATCCTTTACCCTTACCTAGCTAACCCTTGAATTCACTAACCCTAACCCCCAACCAAGTCGCCCTCTTTTTCCCCAAAAATAAACCCCTATCATGGATTGCAGGTGATTGTGATGGAGTCTGTGCTTTGTTTTGCACTTCCCTTTGCGTAAAGTCTGATAACAGTAAAAGGATTTCAAAATAAAGGCTAACAAATGGCCAATTTTCCTCCTACTGTGACCGTGTTTGTATTTTCACAGTCGTCATCTCTCCTGATGAGCAGGCAAGAGTGAGGCCCGGGCCACTGATGCACTGGCGCTCATTAATAAAACTTTTATTCTTCGTCAGGAAATGCATTCGAGCCCCGGTGGCTGGAGCTCCTCTCAGACACAGGAAATGGCCGCTTGGCTAACAGCCAAGCGGGCTATTTCAAGGGGGAGGGAGGGTGTGCCTCATCCGGAGCCAATCAAGCCGGGCCTGGCCACTTAATGGATCAGTGTCTCGACGCATCTGCGCACCCACATATCAGCGGCAATTAGAGGGCGTGTGGGTGTGACCGGAGAAGCAGCTGGCAAAGCGAGGGGGGGGGGGGGAGAAAGCAGGTGGGAGAGTG